GGTCATTGAGTATGTAATGTAATCAGCACCTAGTGTAGTGTTCATACCACCTTTTTTTTGGTTCTGATTAGTTCTTGTTTGGTGAAGGAACAGTCACATTCGTCATTTGTAGCTATGCTCTCGTGAATGGCTGTCGACCTCTCTTGTGTTAATTGTTCTTGCTGCCTTCTGACCATTGCAGGAAGCTGATATGAAGCTGCTCTTTCTGCAAATTGGAGAGCAAGTCTCTCAGCCTCCTGCAATGGTTGAATACACACCTGTGGTCGGCCTGATCGACCTGATATGATTTTAATCTGGCCCCATATCGTGCTAAGACTACTGTAAACATATCAGTGTAAGCGACCTCTGGGGTAAACATATTAGCAGTTATTTTGTTTCTTTATTAGCACATTTAGGTACATCTGCATTTATGCAGCTACCCTAGACTATGAAGGGGGTACATAGTATAATGCTAAACATTACCCATCTCACAGGTTGGTTAGCGTACAGGGGTATGTGATCAGTTGCAAACCTTTTAATGTTGCCCAAAATATTTCAGAATCAAAGATAATAAGAACCAATCACGAAAATAAAAGCTTGATCAATTGATGCTTTACCTCGTGGAACAGCGAACGTGCTGAGCACCTCCCTCGCTGTGTGACTGTTGGCATTTAGTTCACTCTACGAGTCTGTCATGTCGTGGTTGCTGGACGAGGCGGTGAAGTGGGAGACGGGCAGTGTGATCACCTACTCGATCATCACCACCTTCATCACCTTGACGCTGGTGTGGTACTTCAAGAGGCAGCAGAAGGTGAGGAGGTGTCAGAAGACTGGCTGAGGGTGAGGTCCGGCCGGGGTTCGCCAGGTCGGGTGATTCCTGCCCGAAACGCTGCGCGTGCTAGTGGCTTTACAAGACTGTAATTACCATAATTGTATTCTCACATTCCTTATGTACATTCTTGTATATGCATAAATAAATAAATAAATAAAATTTATACAACAATGAACTTAGCAGTTTCGTCGTCACTATTACTAAGTAACACGTTATTAATGTACTTATTAATTCACTTTTAGTTTAAATTAAAAGTCAGTGATAAAGTCACAGAAATTTTAAGACATAATTATGTTCGCAAAATTTCCCTTTAAGCGCATGCGATATATTGAACTAGAATAAATATATATATAAGTTCTATACCGGCTATTTATGTTATAGACAACTATTTTAATTTTCCAACCCCCTTCCCCCCAAAAAAAATTTATCTTTAGTCTTCATGTGACACATGAGTGAAAATAATAATTTTTTTAACACTTAAAGAATAGTCCAGGAATACCCATGTGAAGCATTTTTGGCTTATAGGTGTGGCTGCTGGAGCAGATTCCGGGTCCCAGAGGTCTTCCAATCATCGGCAACGCTCTCTTCTTTAATGCGGACTCGTCAGGTAAGAGGAGCCCACCACATTGTCTTGGTTTAACAGCTATTTGACATACATTTTATGCATACTCAAGCAAAACAATTTTCTTGAGAGATTTTTTTTTAATTATTGTGTTCCTGATTAATGAAACTTGGTAATTCTCGTCAGTCTGAGAGGAATTTGTCTTACGTCTTGTCTCAGAACTCTTCAAGAGGTTCTTGGCAGTGGCAGAGAAAGGTGAAGTGACCAGATTGTGGTTGGGTAGCACGGGTACGTGTCTCCTCAGCTCCGCTAGAACTGCCGAGGTATGTGTCGATGTTAAGGAAAGATTTTAATGAAACAATCGACATGTTTGTTTACACACGCACACACACACACACACACACACACACACACACACACACACACACACACACACACACACACACACACACACACACACACACACACTAACTTGAGAAACAGGCAGGAGTAACTGGTAGGGCGCTCCAGTGGAAAAGGCTCTGTACTCGGACCAATATATATACAATTATATATACAATCTCATATTCAATATATATAAATATATATATATATATATATATATATATATATATATATATATATATATATATATATATATATATATATATATATAAACACATATGTATGTATGTATATATGCATGTTCCAAAATTTCTTAAAGAAACTAAATGTAGGGTTGCTATAAGAAGTGAAAAGGAAACATGAAATCTTGGTACTTGCAGGTAATTTTGAGCAGCACAAAGCACTTAGATAAGAGCGAAGACTACACTCTCCTTCATCCATGGCTTGGCAAGAGCCTCCTCACCTCCGCTGGTAAGTCCTCGGCAAGACGAAAGAGAGAGAGAGAGAGAGAGAGAGAGAGAGAGAGAGAGAGAGAGAGAGAGAGAGAGAGAGAGAGAGAGAGAGAGAGAGAGAGAGAGAGAGAGAGAGAGAGAGAGAGAGAGAGAGAGAGAGAGAGAGAGAGAGAGAGAGAGAGAGAGAGAGAGATTAAATCATTTGGCAATCATGTCTATCCAATCTGCCAAATAGTTACGCAGGGCATAAAGAGCTAAACCTAATTATCTCATATGCTACTGATTGTTAAGTACGTTCTGTTAAGTAAGTATCTACCCCCAAGCCCTCCTCCTTGCAGGCAGTCACTGGCATGCTCGCCGGAAGCTTCTCACCCCAGCGTTCCACTTCAAGATCCTGGAGCAGTTCATAGAGGTCTTTAACAGACAGATCAACAAGATGGTGCACAAATTGCTGAAGAAAGCTGATGGAAGCCCCTTCGACATATTTGACGACAATACCCACTGTGTTCTGGATATAATTTGTGGTCAGTATACATACATATATATATATATATATATATATATATATATAATATATATATATATATATATATATATATATATATATATATATATATATATATATATATAACCACATTAATACAATTTCACACACTTGGACTGCCGGATCCTGGAACATAAGACCACAAAAGCAGAAGCCCGAAGCTCTACTCACTACCCCACAATAATCAAGGAACCAAAAGGCACACTGGTATCCAACTGGGACTTAAGTCCCATAAAGAGAGAGAGAATACCATCCTAAGGTTCAGAATATTAGACTTATATTCAATACATGTTTTTTAGCTTAATTTTAAAATACTAAATTAATATATTTAGATTTATTTCTGGTAAATACACAGCTCTACCCCCCTTCTTATATTGAAATATCTACATATAACAATTACGTGTTGCTTCTCAACAGAGACGTGCTACATAGCCTTCCCAGCTTGGTGCTTTCTTTCATATTTACTTCTCAACAGAGACAGCAATGGGACGCTCCATCAACGCCCAGGATAACAGTGAATCCGAGTACGTCCAAGCTGTGAGGAGGTAAGCTGGATCTTTTTAACTCATTCTTTATCGCTGTGTTATTAATTCATTTACTCGTTTATATATTTAACAGTAATATATTGGTAAAAATAACTAAGGTAGTGGTATTACGACTGTTGTAGAGGTTTCACTTGTGTTTCACTAATGGCAGGTTTATTACTGCGGTTCTCTATGTGGATACTTCGAGTCGAGATCTACATATATATATATATATATATATATATATATATATATATATATATATATATATATATATATATATATATATATATATATATATATATATACATATATACATATATACATATATACATATACATATATTACCCTACTTTAAAGTATGTAAACATCCTTTTGACTATAATCGTGTACTTTTTGTAATAAATTTTCATTATCCAAATTTTTGGAGTTATGGACAAGAATATGGAGACATGGAAGCTTCATAATTGGCATGTCTTTGATCGTGAAACTGTCGATGATTATACTTAACCCATTTAACCTGCGCAGGATATCTGGATTAATACAATACCGCCAATTTCGACCTTGGATGTACAATGACTTCTTATTCAAACTGCTGGGTCCTATCAAGGAATATAACGCCTGCCTCAAGACCCTCCACGACATGTCCAACAGCACCATTAAGGAGAGGAAGGCGTCCCGGAAAGACAAAGCAAACACTGAGGTCCTCGAGGAGGAAGAAGTATTCGGTAAGTTTCAAGACTATTAAGTAGAGGGGGTTTTAAAGAGGCATTATCCTGTAAGGTTCAACAAATAAGTCTGTTTAGCTTATAAAATAATATTATTTTTTACTTGTGTTGCTTTGACAAACTAAACTAACTTATCCTAACCTCCCTAGGCCTAATTCACGATATCTGAGGCCTAATATAGTACACATGTGTGCTATACTAGGCCTAGGAATATTTAACTTTGTGTTCTAGCTTCATTTATTTTAAAAGAATTCCTTACTAGTCAGTATACTACTATTTAAAAGCTAAGAACCTACGAATTGTGACTATTGACGATCGTCACAATACTACTATCTAAACAGTAGAATGGGTTAATTATATTGTGAACACTTGCTAATAGACCTGGACGGGAAATGTAATCAAGAAATACAAAATGAGTCTACAAATTGGGAGGTTGAAGCCTAGAGAGGGTTTTCCAACTTACAAAACAAAGCTAGTGGAATGGACAGAGACGCCAAAATCAAATTCGGGTCAACTATTAGACGGGAGAGGAGGATACGAGCAACATACTAACACATATTTCATATAAGTCTTCACTAATGGAGACCTCAACAATTTACTCAACCAGGGAAGAAGAAGCGTCAGGCGTTCCTGGACCTGATGCTGGAGTACGCTGAAGAAAACCCCGAGTTGACAGACGAGGAGATAAGGAAGGAGGTGGATACATTCATGTTCGCGGGTCACGATACCACGGCGTCAGCCATCAACTGGGTCCTCTATTGCCTTGGTCTTCACCCAGATATCCAGGTAATACGTCTACCATTACCAACACCCGAAACCCGAACGGGTTTGCCCGAAACGCTATGCGTACTAGTGGCTTTAGGTATTGTATGTACTACCTCTATCTTTAAATCTAACAGAATGTTTGTACTGTAACGCTGCAACTATGTATGTGCTGTTCCTAAATAAATTATTATTATTATTATTATTATTATTATTATTATTATTATTATTATTATAACACGGGCGAAAATCTTCCTCAGATTTTATTTTGTGGGGCAAAGCAAAAGATAAAGTTACAGGAAGTTCCGACATTATGTTACAGCTGACATTGGGCACTGGTACTCAAGTATCTGTTAAGGTGGGAGACGCGTCTACAATGTTGGTTAAGGCAATAAGTCCTTAATCCCATGTTCCCTGGAATACGACCCCGCAATATCGATTAACAACCAGGTACTCATTTTACTGTTGGGTAATCAGAGGCTACAGTTAAAGATTGACTCCCAGTAAATCCTCCAACCCGTTCTCGCACTTTCTTACAGTCAATATTGACTTATTAAATAAGTGCATATGTGACATACTAATTTATCATATGTGACATATGTGCATATATGACATACTAATTTATCTATACATACTAAATCCTCCCCAGCCAGGATACGAACCCAGGACAAAGCGCTTGCGAAACGCCAGGCGAGTGTCTTAATCACTACACCACGGGACTGTGTTGAATGAGGCCTCTACAGTGTTGGATGAGGCCTCTAATATTGGGCATGAGGAAAGGAGAGCAAGAAAGGGGGAAGAGAGAAAGGAAAGAAAAAAGTGATCAGTTTAATAGCGCTAAAAATCGAGTGCAGTTCAAGCCTAATAACAGGCTCTAGAAGCTGAAGGTTGTTGGTACGACCCAGGAGCTAAAGTCTGACCTGTTGAGCCAATACCGCTTATCGTTTACACAAAAATTGACAAGGTTGCATATGTAATAAGTTTACAGATCAGAGTTGAAAGGTTTTAAATAAATAAAACAAAATTATCGTGAATGATGCAGTCGGTAATGTACCGGAGCGGACCGTCGCTGTAATGTACTAGTTATTATTTTTTGTACTATACAGGTGGGTACAGGAGCAGACGACTTCTGACTCCTGTTAGCAGGCTGAGAGCCCCTCACATAGCTCCTGTAAGCCTTACCCCACTTGTTTTCTCTGAAACAAGACCCGTCAATCAGTTAACAACCCAATTACTGCTGGGTGAACGCCTAGTCAATCTTCCCTGGCCACGAGTCGAACTCTGGCGAAATCGCTCGCAGGATGAGTGTGTTTCCACTGCGCCATCGAGAGTGAGAGCGGGTTAGCGTCATAAGGAGCTGCATAGCATGAGCCAATAACCCTTGTGCAGTTTACTTCAATGAAAAATTTATTTATTTATTTATTTATATACAAGAAGATACATTGGGGGTTAACAGAGAACATAGAAATTAAGTTGAATTTACATTCTTGTAAAGCCACTAGCACGCATAGCGTTTCGGGCAAAATTTTCTCGTTGCTGAATTTAAATAATATCGAATTTCCTTTTCCTTGGAGGATTAATTAATATCTTTTTACTCATAATAATTCTGACCATTTCTCACAACTGAGAGTGTGTGTCCCCCCAGACTCGGGTGCAAGAGGAGCTGGACGACATATTTGGCGGTTCTGACCGACCCGCGACCATGGACGACCTTCGCCAGATGAAGTACGCGGAAATGTGCATCAAGGAGTCCCTGAGAATATTCCCCCCCGTGCCCGTCATCTCTAGGGACATCAAAGAGGAAATTGTTATAAGTAAGTAGAAGTTCTTCTCCAGCACTGACAGGGGAGGCAAACATTGTGCTGAGGAGTCATGCTCCTTTATTGTAACTTATTATACAATACTGATAACGGGATGTTGTACTTTGTATACCAGGGATCTGGCATATATGTGTGTGTATATATATATATATATATATATATATATATATATATATATATATATATATATATATATATATATATATATATATATATATATATATATATATATAACTTTTCATCTTACACAGCTAAACAAATATAAGTAATATCCATTTAATTCTCATTTTTTCATGGACTTTAATTTCTTACACGAAAGTGGAAATTTCTGTGTGCGTACAAATGGAACATCTGTCTGTTACAGTGGATTTGGTACAAATAATAAATGGTACATTCCCAGTGAATCTTCTCATGGATGTATATGACGTTAGTGTGATTTTCTGTGTGTACATCTGTCTGGTTGTCACATGTGGTAACCTCTTGTTAGGTGGCTTATTTAAGAGAGGGAGGTAGTGAAGATAGGTATGGCGGATATTTGTTTTGTGGACATTGTAAGACATGCACACACCAGATAATGTGTAAAACCTTGACTTGGTACCAGCTCGATGCCTCATGACCCTTTGTGGATTTAGTTAAATCTCAGGTTATATTACTTTTAGCGTGTCGTGGTCCAGTGGCTTAAGGCGTGTGCTTGGGGGTACCCAGAGTGCAGGTTGGAATCCTTTTCGTGGCTCCAACTGATGTTATCATTAGTATATGTATTATTAGTAGTATTAGTACATAAGAACATAAGAACAAGGTAACTGCAGAAGGCCTATTGGCCCACACGAGGCAGCTCCTATCTATAACCACCCAATCCCACTCATAAACATGTCCAACCCACGCTTGAAACAATCGAGGGACCCCACCTCCACCACGTTACGCGGTATTATATTTATTTTATTCACGCAGACAACTACCGTATTCCGGCCAAAACCATCGTGGCTGCAGTCATCTATAAGATCCATCGTGACCCCGAGCAGTTCCCTGACCCCGAAGTGTTCGACCCTGACCGCTTCCTGGCGGAGAACGCCACCAAGCGTCATCCCTACGCCTATGTTCCCTTCAGCGCCGGCCCCAGGAACTGCATTGGTTAGTTTATTTATATATATATATATATATATATCAATTTAACAGTATTTTTGTACTGTTATTTATTGACACTCGAGTAAAGCTGTTATAAACAAATGGCCAATTTCTCATGTTTATTTCCAGTGAGTGGAAGGTTAGTTTTGCAATAAAAAAATATAGGATGGGTTAATGAACTGGCTTCAAGAGTTTTATAATATATACTCACTAAGATAATCTATATGTATACATTCTACGAGGTTTATGGAAGTATATGCATGAAATTTATAATAAACCAATTATCAGCCTCATCACACATTTTTTTGTGCCATGTTGTGAGATGTCTCAATATCCCACCAGGTCAGAAGTTCGCCATGCTGGAGCTGAAGACTGTAGTGAGCAGCATCTTCCGCAAGCTGCGGGTTGAGAGCGTCGTCCCCAGGAAAGACCTTAAGATAACCGCTGAGATCATTCTTAGGCCGGCCAATGGCAACATCCTCAAGCTGTCACCCAGGACCAAGTAGGCTACACGAGGGTGCGCGAAGTGGAGGAAACACCTGAAGGATAACGCATGGAAGCACACACACGGACGTGGGAGTACAAACAGTGGTTGGAAGATGACGCATGAGAGCCCCCATTGGCGTAGGATAACCATGGGGGCTCACATTGACGTGGGGGTACCTGGTGGGCGACGCATGGGAGCCCACAGAAGCGTGGGAGTACGTGGAGGATGAAACACAATAATATTGACACCTACCCGACCATTAGGCTTCGTTACAAGCCTTTTCCGTTTTTGATCCGAGGTATATAATTATTTATCATTTGTTGCTGCGTTAAATTCTTGAACATTATATTAGTTACTGCACTCTATTCTAGATTATTGCAGAGTTGTTGCGTTCTGTTTTAGAATATTGCATATTTGTTGCATTCTATTCTAGAATACTGCATACAATTTTGATCAGCTTATCTGAGGAAAGTTGTTGACGAATTGGAAGATAAACAGATTTAAATGTTGTGAAACCTATAAAAAAAAAGGACAAAATTAAGAAATGAATCCCCCCCCCCAAAAAAAAAAAAATTATTATTGCTGGACAAATTAAACGCTCAACGACCATTTTAAAATTATAAGAAAAATATTTCAGACCAAAAAATGAGGCAACAAAGCCATTTTTTTTAACTGGTGGTAAACATGCGGAAGACCTCACCAGACGAGGTAATACAACGTGCTACTGTTTCTACGTATAAAAAAAATCTATAAATATATTTTCCCCCAACTCCTCACCTTACACTGTAATGGCCCATTACAAGCTCTTCAAAAACAAGCAGAGCCTCGTGATGAGCCGATGGTGTGTTGCTCTTTGGATTATTTTGTAATCGTTTGATGCTTTGTAATCCGTTGGAAGCTTTGCAATCTGTGGTTGCATTGTAATCTGTTGGTGACTAATTTGAATATGTGGTTGTTTCTTAATGCAATGGTAGCCTTGTAATCCGCGATAGCTTTGTAATCTGAGAAACCTCTGTAATAATTTGGTATCTTTTTTTATTATCCACTGTATCATGATATATTTTTTTAATTTCCAAACAGAATGTTCTTAATAAATAATTTCCGTAACTAATAGGGATTAATATATTATATATATATATATATATATATATATATATATATATATATATATATATATATATATATATATATATCAGTTCTTAGAAGACTATTCCAACTGATTTACTTCTTTAAGTTCACTGCCAATCAGTTATAAATTCATTAAATATTGTACGATGCAACTGTATTTTTCTTTCACCCTATTTCGTTGCCAATTATTAATATTTATACAAAAGACAAATTCAGAACTAGCGGCGGTTGATAGGTTGTCTCAGGTATCAAATTGTTAGAACCTAACCTAACTTAACCAAGCCTAGCCTAGCCAAAACTATTTTAGCCTAGCCTAATCTAGTCTGGGGCTAGGCGAACATAGTCTCTCCAAGAATAGCATAGTAATAAATGAAACTACATAAGGCCCATTTGGCCCATATGAGGCAGCTGCTATTTATATTCACTTAGACTCATTTTAATTTAAGCTTGAAATAATTCCACGTCTACTGTGTTACCAGGTAATATGTTACATAAATTAACAACCAAGTGTTCAAACCATGCAGTATTTACCTAGATATGTCCTTGATCGAAAACTATCGAACACATATTCATTATTGCATGTGGAAAATGTTGTTGTTGATATATTTAGAACATTACAGCTTTTTTTCTTACACCCTTTCATCCATTTATAGTCATGTCAATCCTTATACTTCGTCTTCATAGATAATGTACATTATGTTTTTTAATTTATAAGTGAAGTCTATAATTCTAGTTTATAATTTCAACAGTTTTATTTGTGTATATTCAACTGAATTATGTCCATTTTATAATATGGAGACTAAAACTGATTCTACATAATCTAAATGATGCCTAACAAAGGCAAAATAAACGTAGCCTAACCTAACCCATCGTTATTTCCTGCAGTCATACACACAATGGAAATTATTTTATTAAACGGTGTTCTGAAAAAATTGCATAAAATCCGCAAATATTCCATTGAATGATAAAGTTACCAGGACGCGTAATATAAGATGAGTAAACTAACAAAATATTCAAGTCAAATTATTAATTAATCAGGGGGTGACAGAATTCACAGAAATTTAATTACTCTGTAGACAGAGCATACATATATAACAGTGAAACAAATATTGAATAAATAATGTATAATTTAATAAACAAAAATAACATACGCTTTACATCTACTGAATTTGTTATTTCAAAATGCAACATGTCCATACAAGCAAGAGGCGGACGTCTCTAGTACAGTTCACTTCCAGATTGGAACATATATATACACCACCTGTTTTTTCCCAGTCATTACATTTGGCGATAAAATCGCTGAGGAAAAAAATATCAAGGAATAGAATGGTGAAGTTAGGGAGCAGAGGATGGGTAGCAGAATTTTCAAGGGGGATTTGTGTGGACCAACCGGGGAGCCGGTCGGCCGAGCGGACAGCACGCTGGACTTGTGATCCTGTGGTCCTGGGTTCGATCCCAGGCGCCGGCGAGAAACAATGGGCAGAGTTTCTTTCACCCTATGCCCCTGTTTCCTAGCAGTAAATAGGTACCTGGGTGTTAGTCAGCTGTCACGGGCTGCTTCCTGGGGGTGGAGGCCTGGTCGAGGACCGGGCCGCGGGGACACTAAAAAAAAGCCCCGAAATCATCTCAAGATAACCGTCGAGCGCTGGTCCTTCAGGCTATGAAAACAAACAAAGCCTGAAAGCTACTCCCACGTGAGTACTCATGTTTATTTGTGCTACGGAATATTTCAATTATATCCTTGCATTATTTGTGTTTACTAATATATTGAATTATATGTCTGCCAGATTGTCTGCCTACTTTTTTTTCTATTTGTCTACTCTTTCTTTATAGGTTCTCATGGTACCGTTGGCTTCGTTTTCGACTCATAATCGGGGAACCCGAGTTCTAATCACGGGTGGGGCGCAAATGGTTGGGCACGATTCCTTTCACAAAAGAACTTAAGAACCAAGGAAACTGCAGAAGGCCTACTAGCCTATACATGGCAGCTCCTATTTATATCCACCCAAATTCAAATTCATATATATATATATATATATATATATATATATATATATATATATATATATATATATATATATATATATATATATATATATATATGTCGTACCTAGTAGCCAGAACTCACTTTTTGGCCTACTATTCAAGGCCGATTTGCCTAATAAGCGAAGTTTTCCTGAATTAATATATTTTTTCTAATTTTTTTCTTATGAAATGATAAAGCTACCCATTTCATTATGTATGAGGTCATTTTTTTTTATTGGAGTTAAAATTAACGTAGATATATGACCGAACCTAACCAACCCTACCTAACCTAACCTAACCTATCTTTATAGGTTAGGTTTGGTTAGGTAGCCGAAAAAGTTAGGTTAGGTTAGGTTAGGTAGGTTAGGTAGTCGAAAAACAATTAATTCATGAAAACTTGGCTTATTAGGCAAATCGGGCCTTGAATAGTAGGCTGAGAAGTGCGTTCTGGCTATTAGGTACGACATATATATATATATATATATATATATATATATATATATATATATATATATATATATGTCTAACTACGCTTGAACAATCCAGGAAGACAACGTCTATTACGTTATCCGGTTTTTAATTCCACACATTCACAACCGTGCGGTCCACAAATTCACTGATGCCTCTGTTCACCTAGCAGTGAACAGGTATAGGAATTTGCCACCTGTTGTGAGGTAGCATCCGGGAGAGGGTCAGTAGTTTGACCTTGGGGAACCCCATATAAGACTAAAGTATATACAGAAAAGGCTTCTTGTCCTCGACAAAGCGAATTACATTCTATGAGAGACGCAGTGTACTACCATGCCACTAACTAGCTTTAATACAAAGAAATGTAGAGAATACTACAACAATATATATATATATATATATATATATATATATATATATATATATATATATATATATATATATATATATATATACAGATAAGTTAACCATTATTCTGAAATCAACTAATCTACACATCAAAACTAATCCAATATGAGCTCGGCAAATGCCATCCATTAATTAATGTTTTGATTGCATTTGCTATGAAAATGGAAGATATAAAAGCTTGAAATTTCAAACAAAATATTGAAAAAATGTGTTTCCTATAAACTGAGATATTTATTTATTTGTATGTGAATGAAAAGATAATATATTTTTCATTTCTAACTTATACATTTACATTAAATATTTATATATTCTCAGTGTCCAAAAGTCTCACCAATACCCTTCGTCCTTTTGATGTAAAACTCGTCTTTCGACAAACTAACACACTTCACATTAATCTGGTTCACACTGCTCCTCCTGCTTCCAGTGCTATTGGTGTCTTATTTCCTGTTCGTTTTGTCCTCTCCAATACTTTGGTAAAACTGGATGTACGCTGACTGACAGACTTAAGGAACACAAAATAAATGTTAAGTCTGCAGACACAAACAATGATCTCTTCTGTCATGTCAGGGACTCTTAATCATCCCATAGATTGGTGTTCTTCTAAAATAATCTACCCTTGAGTTATCTTGAGATGATTTCGGGGCTTTAGTGTCCCCGCGGCCCGGTCCTCGACCAGGCCTCCACCCCCAGGAAGCAGCCCGTGACAGCTGACTAACACCCAGGTACCTATTTTACTGCTAGGAAACAGGGGCATAGGGTGAAAGAAACTTTGCCCATTGTTTCTCGCCGGCGCCTGGGATCGAACCCAGGACCACAGGATCACAAGTCCAGTGTGCTGTCCGCTCGGCCGACCCTGCTTCCACTCTTCACAGACGCCTGACGGCGTCTACGACGGTTATCATCTTAAGATAACCCCAAGATAACGCCGTCTTCAATTCCCTGGCCGTCAGACCCCCCCCCCTTCTCCCCCTGCTGGCCAGTCCCTTGACTGCTAGGGGCTCCTATCTGCCTGGCCCACTAGACCCTTGGCCGCTAAACTCTTGGCCACCAGTCCCTGCGGTCCTGGCTTAGCGCTCTCTCCTAATAATTTTTTTGACCATCTTGCTTAGTTTTCAAAGAGAACTTCCGATTGTGAGGTTTTCTGGATAAAAACGGCTGTGTTGCGGACGGAGAGAAATGGTCGCTCGGCATAACAAAAGATCACCTTTCTTGTGCCCCGGTCCGTCCATCTCCTCTTCCTTATATTCACCGTTTCCTTTTCTTAATCCCTTCCCTCTACCCCGACCCAACCCGCCCCCTATACTTTCCTTTCTTGTATCCTCTCCCTCATCAATTCTCTCTCACTTTTTACACTTATTTATTTCTCCTTAAATTTTCTAACTAAAACTCTAAATTTTCTCCTGGACTTGCCCCTATCTCTTCCAATCCTTAGACCTTTCCCTTTCTCTCCATCTTTCATTCTCTTTCCTAAATCACCGTAGCCTTTATTCCCCTATATCTTTCCCTCCCATCATTTTCCTACTCTCAGTCTCTTGACTGTCACTCCTTCCTTCACCCATTCCTTTGGTGAATTATCCTTGCCATTCAACCTCACCTTATTTATGCTATCATTCTTATTCTCTCTCTTCCCGTCTCCCTTACCTCGTTATCAGCCCCTTCACACTCCCGCTATCACTCACCCTCTCTATTATTTCACTATTTGTCTCTCCCTCTGTGCATTACCTTATCGTCTTACCCCTTTCATCTCTCTCTCTTTCTATCTCTCTCTCTCTCTCTCTCTCTCTCTCTCTCTCTCTCTCTCTCTCTCTCTTTCTCCCTTATTGCGGGGTGTCTCCCACTCTTCCCCCCTCCCCTGCTTCCACCAGTCAACAGCCGAGCTCACGTCTCTGTAAATGCATTGTTAGGATATGTTTTGTACAATTACCGGTGCGAGGCAGGTGCGGGAGCGCGGAGACACCGGTGATTGATGCTGTAATTGGTAAAATTCGTGTTCAGGT